TCAATACTTTATAGAGTACCTGCTGTAGCTTTTTCAGCTTTGAGGCTTTTTTGGTACATCTGCTGTGCATATCTGGATTTGGGGATTTTTGTCTATTCCTTCTTGCATACTGCATTTGCTCAGTCTCTGTCTAATTGCACAGGAGAATTGATGAACTGCAGTCTTTCCAGTCCTTTCATAGACTGTCTATGCTCCCACCTCCATGCTTGTTAGGGATGGTATTATGTGGTTGATGAACTGTGTTGTGGTTTAGACCGTTGTATTCAGAGTTCAAATTTCTGTTTCATCTGGCCAGAGACAGAGTAACTTTAGCCACATGGTCTCAGGGCCTGCTATGTGTCTCCTTGTAAAATCCAGGACTACTGTTAGCTCCTATAGAGGCTGTAGACCTTGTTGACCAAGGACAGGATGTCCAATTTTATGTCAAAGCTAAGCCTTGCTGGACAGATTAAATCCAGATTAGGATGGATTCTCTATGATCTATATGCCACAGGAAAAACAAGTTATACAGTAAATTGCATTGAATTTCCTATACAAAAACCAAACAATCATTTTTACCTTTTATGTCTAGGTAAGACTCTTCTGGCAACAAAGTACCAGGCAAAAAATATTCTTCTGATCAAAAAACACTATTAATCAGACTTCAGCAAAACAAATTATGTATAAAATAACATTGTTTTCAATCCATAGTCCGATACAAACAAGACAGATGGACGAAGGAGGATCAAACCCGATTTCAAAGAGGATCCTGCATTCAAACGGCGCATTTCCTATAATCACTCTGCAGTCCACATTCCGACGGATATCTACGAAGGGTGTAAGTAGACTATTAGCAGTCTGTAAGCTTTTTAAAAATGCATCTAAAGTGCTTTGTTATCTTTCCATTGTCCTAATAGGAATCAAAATGTAAAAATGGGAATTGAAAATGATTTTTCACTTCACTTTACATGCTACAGTATATGATTTCATTTTTATTAATCATGTTTTTTTTTCATTTATTGTGTTTTTGTTCATTATATACAGTATCACATCATTAAGCTTTTTAACTGTGTACATTCCAAATCATTGGCTATGATTTTACATACTCCTGCTAACATAGCTTTATGTATTTTGTATGATATATTAGTCATTTGAACTTGTTAGTTGATTATAGATTCCTACAGTAGATTTCCCATTAAGTAGCTGTGCAATATCCTACTGTTGTGTGCAATGTTTACCAAGATTACCCTTTTCTACAATTGTACTATATACTGTAAAAAAACATTTCTACAATTGTACTATATACTGTAACTGAGCCAATGCTTTACTCTAACATAAACACAACGGGTGTCACACCCGAAAAGGTTCCACAACCGAAATGTTGTGTTTTTTTCTTCTCTTTTTAGTCTGGAATAAACCTATAACTTGTTCCTTTGCAGTCTACGCATGCTGATGCAGCTACCCACCTGAGCTACATATACAACATGTAATAACTAACAGCATATTAATTAGAAAATAAACTTTCTAGGTTAGGGTGGGAGCTGCAGTAAAAGTAACCTTTGTAATTTGTTGTTAGTTTCAATATTAATTAACACTTCTAATTCTCTCATAGTTTTGTGATGGGATGGAAACCTAATTAATATTCCACTCCAAATCCATTAAGAAAATGGAGCTGTTTGTTTGGTGTGACAAACACAATATTGCCATAATGCAGTCTCAGTCACTGTAGATACCCATAATCACCATGTGGATAAAACTTGGAAGCAGTTCTAAATGTGATCAATTTAAGAAGTAACCGTGAGAGCTAGAGAATTTTTAAAGCAAAGAAAGCTCAAGGACAAAGATTGCCCACTGCTGGTCTTATTATTTTGTTTTTTAACATTGATTCCATGAACCTTAAAGCAGCACTACCTTCTCCTTGTATTTGCAGGTATCCACTGCCTCACTTAAGTTATTAAAAGACACGTTCTCTTTAGGTACTGAAAGTGCATGGGGCACTGGTGATTTGAAGTGCAGCAGTTCTTGTTTCTTATTTCTGATGAACAGGTCTTTTTATAATAATGTCCCCCGCAAAAAAATAAAAAAAACAAATAATAAAACTTACCAATGCATTGGCATGTCAGAAAGTTATACGTTAGAAAGTCAATAGTTTATTTGGAAAGAGTGAAACAACAACAAGCCTTTGGAATAAAATCACAATATAACCCAGAGGGTACACTGTACACAGCACAAACCCACACTAATTAGAAATGGCAAACTAGACAAGGAAACGTGGTCTATGTGGAAGTGACATAGTCCTCCATACTTGCAGAGGGTTCTAGACAAAGGCGGACATATTTTATTCTTCCCTTCGAGTCTTGTGAAGACTTCTCTAGTCAGAACTAGTAAGTAAGATGTGTTGAGACTAAACAGAGAGTTCATTCCTGTACCCCAGGAAAGGTATAATGCTTGTCAAGACCTCCAGGCTTTTACGCTATGTTATACTAATTTGTTTTAACATTTTAGTAGCAGGAGGGTATTTTCTGTCAGAATGTGCTTGATTTTGAATGCATCTACATGAATCTCTGCCGATCGTGAACTCTGTAAAAACAGGGACAGAAAGCTATAGTAAAATTATATGAGTCTAAAAGAATACATGTAATCTGTCTTTTTGTATGTTTAACATTAAGTAGGGACACACTGTATGTGAAACATTTAGGTTAATAAAATAAGGAGACTTCAAATGATTTAAATATTGTACAATATTATTTTAAAAATATTATAACAAGCAGCAAAGGGTGAAAATACAATTCACAGAGCTGATAAAGGTTTAACAGAAGCTCAGTGATATACATACATGTTATATACAATTTTGAAAAAAATGCATATTATGTCTGGATTTTAGGATTAAACTGCATATCGTCATATGTCTGAGCAAAAATAACAAGTAAACATCGGTAAAAAACTTATTAACAAATGAGAATGCATTTCAGTCACAAACTATGTGCAGAGTCAGTGGAGGCACGTTTGTTGATAAAGAGTCTTGTCTCTTTCAAAGGAGTCTTGCAGTGAGGCCATTTTCAGATCATCTGCCTTCTGCCAATGCAGAGAGACCTCAGCCTTCCAATTGCAATATTATTTGCCGATGATGAAGAGTCTTGCAGTCTCAGAAATGTAGTGGACATTATTTGATGTTATTATTGATGTCAGGAGGACACTGGAAAAATACGTAGAAAAATTAGGCCAATAGTTGGGATAAATACAACTGTGTAGTCCTATGGTAAATCAAGTAGTTTTGTCTGTTGTTGTAGATATTTGTTTGCAATTATTACATTGTACAGGTATCTATCATTTTGATTATTAAAATAAGTGCTGATTAAAGCAGTATTGTAATTGTTAAAGTGTTATGTGTGTTAACAACATGGGCAATTATCTGTTGCTTTAACATTGCACACATAAATATGGGTAGGCTTAATGAAAATGTTGTTAACTGTGTGAACTGATTGGCAATGTCATTGTTTGTCAATGTTTTGGCTTATTAGGTAATAAATGTTTTCTAATACTAATAGTAAAATTCCACCTACTGGATGGCAAAACTCATTGAAATGTAACCAAATTTACAGTATATACAGTAGGTTATATGTGCAGGTACCAGAAGAATCTGAGCTGCAAATAAGGTGCAGAAAGTCTGAAGGTAGTGATTTTTATTTTGCTAAAAAAATGTTTGAACAAGACCTGAAGTGGAAACATATTGTCACGCCCTCTGCAGCCAGAGTCCACTCCGATATCAGCGTTAGAATGTTAACGTGCCATTTGCCCAGTCTGCGGTATTTTTCCCCGGGGTTTTTGTGGGGTTTTTTTTCTCTTGTTTTTTGCCTTTTGTTTTGATTTTTTTTCTTCCTGGTTTCCCCTCCTTTTTGGTCCCCCCTGCTCTCTGTGTCTCTTTGGACTTTGGTTCCTACCTGTTTTTGGTTCCTATCTGTCTTGTGTGGTTTGTCTCCCTGGTCTTTCCCAGGTTTTTGTCTGTTGGGTTTGTGCTTGTG